CCACACCACACCACACCATACCACACCACACCATACCATACCACACCATACCACACCACACCATACCACACCACACCATACCATACCACACCACACCATACCACACCATACCATACCACTTTATTTATAAAGCACTTAAAATAGCAACAAGGCCAACCAAAATGAGAAGAGAAGGCGAAACAAAAACAAGCAAAGGGCACAGTTTAAAATGCATCGATCCAAATAGATAAAGATGAGAAATACCTTATTGTCTGCCGTACACGTCACACCTCCTTATAAGTCGCGTCAGTCCAAGTATGTCTAATAAAGTGGAAAACAACATAAATACGTCGCTTCGCTGTATAAATTGCAGGGCATGAAATGGTGACTTGTAGGCCGAAAAATACGGTAAATGACTAACGATATAGAAAACAGACAAGTTAAAATCAACTCACACAGTGTCAAAAGCTAGGGAATAAAAGTGTATTTTTAAACAAGACTTAAAAACAGTGAGAGAGGGAGCCTGCCTGACATGCAGTGGTAACTTATTCCACAGTTTTTGGACCTGCAACAGAGAAGGTTCTGTCACCTCTGAGCTTAAAACGAGTACCTGGAACCAAGAAAAGCCTCTGGTCTCGGAGAGCGCTGTGGTCATATGGCTGCAGCAGATCAGCGAGATAGGAGGGGGCAGAACAGTTCTTGAATTAAACTGTAAGTTTAGTTTGCTGTGGTGTCTAAAGTGGTTTACAAATAAAGTTGGATTGGATTGGAATAACAAAAACACTTGTTAAAGTTGGTACCATATCTGCAGTGACGTCAGTCGTAAACCTAATCTGATCTCAGTGGGAATGAAAAGCAGAGACGGAGATGAGACATCCAGAGCAGCTCTGACATCATCGGGTAGTTCCCCTTAGCTCAGCACTTTTCAGTGGCTGTTTGGCTGCCATTCATTGGAGGGGGAGGGGCCCTTGTGGGTCATTGCCCAACTTTCTGACTGACAGTGAAAAAACAAGAGGTTCCTTCTCACGCCAACACAAAGGCACTCTCAAGGCAGAGCTTGGCCCCGGCTGGTGAACCCACCACGTGCGTTTTCTTTTTCTGAGTGTTTACAGAAGCAGCCGTTGACCTTTAAGCAGCCACAGAGGTCCAGAACGGCTGTGGCACGTCCGAAGCATTCACTCATTCTCATTCGTGTGAGATTTATCAAACAGGACTGTACTAAAACATTCATCGGCTACAGAAAGGCATGGCAAATCCGTCATGCTCAGTTTGAAGTGGTTCTTCACGACTGACCATCAAGGAGTATTCATAATGACTACTTAAAGAAAATTATTTTTCAGGTCCAATTTGCACTAAAATTTTAATGCCATTTCTTTCAGTTAAGCCTGTAATTTCCAATCACGTTTCACGGCTTAATTTCTTATTCTAATTAGACTTGGGATGATTCATACTCAGTGGAATTTTTCAGCACTTTGTGAAGCAGTTTTTTTTTTTTTTTTTGTAGGTTTTTAAGCTTTGTGTTAGATGTGAGAATCAATGCGGTTCTTGTAGCTGTCTGCTCTGTACAAGGTTAAAGCCTGAAACTGGTTAGATCAGCTAACAAAGACTGGAGGAGGAAACACAGGAATGCTTTCTCTGTGAGGGAAGTCCAGACAGCTGGCTGTTCCCTCAGGCAGCAGAGTTAACCAGCCGAAGGCTCCTGCTACATTTATTTTGTTACACTGACTTTTTATTTTATTTTACTTGTGCCAACACACAAAAAGAACCTTTACTTGCACTTGAGGCTTTTATGGAGTCAGTTTTCTTTAACCTAAGGGAATGTGAGATTTATACAACCTTTTGAAAGGAAAACTCTCAAATCCAATTTTATTTTAATTATTCTAACTAGGGCTGGGTGAACATGACCAATAATTCATATTATGCTATTTGGGGAATTATTACAGTACACGTAGCACATCGCAATATGTTTAGATCCCCCTTTAATCTGTGTTTTATTGTTTAACTCAACATTTTAATATAATGAAGTGGTGAACTGTCACTCGCAGACATTCATTCTTTAACTCATGTTCTCATTGGGACAAAAGCTCTGTCCTCACAGATTCCAGCTGCAGGAGAGACTTTTGTTTCAGCCCAGCTCCAGAACAAAAATTAAAATGCATTCTAACAGCAGGACAGAGTCTTCTGACCTTGTTACACTCGTGACCAAATCAAACCGAACGAACCTGTTCTTGCACATGCAGTTCATGCAGACTCACGCTGAGCATGCAGCAGAACTGTGTTTAACGACCAGATCTAGAGCAGCAGCCGATGTCACACAGTCGTTATAATTATGGGCTGCTTGGGTTTAAAATAAACACAACAAAGTTGGAGCAGGAGCTTGAATGACCAATGGTAAAACATAATAACTGTAGGTACGAGACGATCCCTGCGTCACTGCCGACGTGCGCGTTCCACCAATGTTTGCGGTGCACGTAATGGGCACAAGACTCCCCTGAATTGCAGCAACACAAACCCCGCCCCTCAGGGGTATTTCTTTTTAATTTTTTATTATGACGTTGCCAGAAAGTTCCTCTTTCACCACATTTTTCATTGGATGGTTTCTGTTCACGCAGTTCATGGCTGATGAAAATGTCGCTCTAGTCCAACCTGATTAAAAAGTATGTTCTGGCTCACAGCACTCAAATCAAAGGTAGACAGCAATAAAATGTAATATTTGATCTACCGTATTTTTTGCCGTATAAGTCGCCCCTTTTTGCATAAATTTGCAAATCCTGCGACTTATACACCAAAGCAACTAATATATTTTTTTCCACCATATTTATAACCCAATTTTTGTCTGAGATCTGATTATTTCATTCATAATTACACAAAAAATAAACATTACCATTTGTAGCCGCTAGAGGGCCCTCGAGGCTTATGGCAAGCAAAGTGTCTCATTAATAGGTAAAAGTGGCTATTAATGAGACACTTGGCTTGCCATACCAAGCCGCCTACGTCTCGCTCTGGAACTCCTGGAGCAAACGTCAAATCAGCTGCATTTCATCGCGCCGCCCAGGCGAAATGCAGCTGATTTGACCAAAGAAGTGCTTTTATTAAGAGAAAGTTCAGCTGAGCCACACTTTTACTATAATGTCGAGCAAACAAATAATTGTTTGTAAGTGTTAATCTTGTTAAATTCTTGTTAAAATCCTCCTGTGCACGCTCCCACGGCCACCATTTTGGCAGCCGATCGATTTTTGGCACAGCACCGATCGACATTTTTGGGTTGTCAACGGTGACTCATAACAAACACGATGCGTCAGTGGTGATGCATAAATGTGACTTACACGGCTAAGTGACGTTTTTGTTTTTTTCCCACCTTTTTAGACATATTTAGACTGATGCGACTTATACGGTGGGAAATATGGTAAATACTGACTGACTTTCAAGACAGTCTGATGCTGAGAATGTGTTAAGACCCTGAACATGGTGATGTTTAATGATCTTTCACAGCAGATGCAAAACAGCAAAAATGCTTTCTCTTTGATCCCTTATTAATCTAATTATTTTCTATTTAGTACAGTTATTATTTAATTTTATAATAATGAATATAAGTAGCAAATGTTAACCAAAAAGTAATTTCCTATTTCTCCTGCAAATTTCAGGTGTTTGTTTTATGGTTTTCAAGGTTAAATCAAAGGAAAAATAAGAGTAACTTTTCAAGACTAAAATTGCCATAACTACCTGATTTCTTCATCACTGCAGACAATCTTGGTGTCAATCTTTTTTTTGTATCTCTCCTCTAACTGTTCCAATAAATGTTGACAGGCTACAAGACAGCAGCACATGAACCAATAAAGCAGCTAGCACAACAAGACTTACCATTTGATGACATCATTAATTATCAACTAGTTCATAGTTATGATTCTTTTGTTTCAGATTTTTTTTTCTTTGTGCTGTATTTTGCTTTTGTTTTCAGTTAAGTTAGCAGCACGGCTAACTGTCTCCATGCAGCATATGCAAAGCCACTTGAGTTTTCTCAGAGATGATGTTGTTGGCGCTTATCGGGCAAACACAACATTGATAAAGTTCAGAGTAATTCTGATGGTGATGAGCCGACTTCTATAAATGTCCTGAATCAGGAATGCTGAGATCCTTCCATGCGAATGAGCCGAGCCAATCTTCAAGAATTAAGCCGCGTTCGTTCAAAGTCTCCCTTGTTTTGTTCATGAAATATACACATATACTTATAAAATCCAGAACATTTAAACACTTGAAGAATAAAACAGTTAAAACTTTAATGTCAATAGACAAACAACAAACACCTACAGGTAGTGAATTAAATGCTGAAGGCTAATAGCCATTAAAATTTCTACTTGATATTTGTAATATAGGCATTTTTGATATCATAAACTCTGAACGTCTTAATTATGATATATTGCCAAGACCCGAATCTAATAATGAACACCACTGTAAGATTTCAAATTTGTATCAATCATAGTTTCATTTTTGTTGTTGTTGTTCTAATCTATCTTTAGTTTATTTACTCACTTCCTGATCATCTAGCTCACGGGTGTCCAAAGTGTGGTCGGAGGGCCATTTGCGGCCCTTGGAGTGATTTTGTGTGGCCCACAACTGCAATTTAAGAACAGTATAATTTTGGCCAGCAGGCTTAAGAGGTTGATGCAGACTTTCTGCATATTCATTGGTAATTCATTTTTTTTATACATTATTTAGGTTTAACAGCAAAAACGGATGAAAAACAATCTTCTCAAAATTAGCAATATTAAACAAAATACTAACCTTTGGCTATAATCTTTATATTTTCACTTCATGGTACAAAGCACCAAAAACCTTTCCTGATTTCTACCAGAAAGGAGACTTTTGGATAGTTATTCATAAAACTTGGCTAAATATTGCAGTTGATAAAATAATCAAGAGAGAAATTGGACATTTTTAAATGAATATAATGTGGTATCATCTACATACGCGCTGATCAACTTTATCAAACCTATTAATCTGTTGCAGCGACTGACAGCTGGATGTTTTTTCTGAACTTGGATCAGCCTTTTGGGTCGTCCATGGTCCAAAAGGCTGATCGACCCCCTTTTTAAAAGGAGACTTACTCAAATTACATTTTGTTGCTGAGAACAGACTAAAATTAACTTTCCAAACCCAAGAAACAACAAACATAGACCCAACAAATAAAATATATAAATGATTTTTTAGCAAAAATATAATCTTAGTGTTTAGGAAACTTAATGTTTTGGATCTACAACTATTTAAAACTCGTTCTCCACCGGAATTAGTAAATTTTTGTCCTTTCTCCAAATCATTGTTCACATTGAAAGTTAAGTTCACATTTTTGTCGCTCACGAGTCGTTTCTTCTTGATAGATTTGGTCCACATATGAAAACGTTTGGACACCCCTGATCTAGCTGCTCAGTTCCACCTATTTATTTCTGAGCACTAACCAGTCTGTCCCTCTGGCCTGTGGTCACACAGTGTCTCTGTACGTGTGTCCAGGTAACAACTCCAACTGCAACGCTCTGACCCACGGCGACATGGTCAGCCTCGACGAGGGCCGCTTCCCTGCTCTGGAGCTCAACAACCGACGGCTGTCCGTGAAAAACTCCTTCTGTCGGAAGAACGGCGTCTACACCAGGTGAGACTACTCTGACACAAATAGACTAACTCCAGTTTAATGAGTGTTTGTGAATGTCTGAGTTCAGTTAGTTGAAAATCTAATACCTTAACTGGGACTTGTGATAGAAAATCTGCAGATTGAATCATCAGTTTTGACTTGACTGGAGACTTTAAATGAAATCTGCTGGTGAAGATTCTCAGTCATCCAGATCATGGTGAATCCCAAAACTGTTCATCATTTATTTTGTTTTTTTAATCTTTTTTATATATATTTAAATTAGATCATTAGAAGTGGTTTATACCATGAACAAGAGTTGGATTTGCACCTAACCTTATTTAACTTGTAATTATTTAATTGCCCACACTTAAAGATGATAATGTTAGTGTAATTTGTTTGCTAGACTGTCGCATTAGAAAATTATCTTGTAAACCTGTGGATGGATTTCAATGAAATGCTCAAAAAGTAGATGCTCACCTACTGGTGAATACTTCTCGGAGTCAACCCTATTCAAGATGGCACTGACAATTAAGCTACCTTAGTACAAACTTTACAATACTGAGCTAAAATCTAGTATGGTCGTAGCTGGGATTCATTCTGAACAAATCATTTAACTGTTGGTTTGTTGGTAAAATATCTTATAAACATCTAAATGGATTTGATTGAAGTTGTTAGGAAAATAATCATTGGCCTTACGACTTCTGGAGTCAGTCGACATGGCCACTGCCTCAAATGGACAACTCCAAATTGTCTTTTTCTCAGTCACTTTTACAGCTATTGAGCTAATTTTAAAGTTGTAGTTGCTAAGAGTGGGCAGCCCGGTGGCGCAACTGGTAGAGCTGCTGCCTCTCAGCGAGCAGGTCCTTGGTTCAAACCCCGGTACAGGGGCCTTTCTGGGTGGAGTTTGCATGTTCTCTCCGTGCATGCGTGGGTTTTCTCCGGGTGCTCCGGTTTCCTCCCACAGTCCAAAAACATGCATGTTAGGCTGATTGGTAACTCTAAATTGTCCCTAGGTGTGAGTGAGAGAGTGAATGGTTGTTTGTCTCGTTTGTCTCTATGTGTCCCTGTGATGGACTTGCGACCCGTCCAGGGTGTACCCCGCCCCTCGCACAGTGATTGCTGGACATGGGCACCAGCGACCCCCGTGACCCAAAATGGAACAAACGGGTAAAGATAATGGATGGATGGATGGATAGTTGCTAAGAGTTGTTCACTGCACGTCCTCTGAGCGTGACATCTTTCAAAATTGCAAGAGATTTTCAAGGTTTGACCAAAACAGCTTTAACATCATCACAGTTAAAACTCTGACATGAAAGGTGATATGCATTCTTTCAATGGGAGGCCTTCGATCTGGGGGAGTCTGAGACACGTGCAGTCTGTTTCCTCCTCCTGTGTGTCCACACAGAGGAAACCTCAGTCTTTTTTAATAGAAGAATGCAAAAAATGCATTTTATGTGTGCTTTCCTGTAACTGCAGTGATCTGAAGCGCAGATCAAAGCAAACGTAGGTCTTTGAGAAGCTTCCAGCAGCTTGTTACCTCGACGTCTCCTGATCTGTAGAAGAAGCTGGGAGGAAAAGAATGCACAGATGTACCCAGAGAATCGGCTCCTTTGAACTCGCAGGGAAACCCAAATCCCAACACCTGAGCCAACGATTACAGATTAATGCGGCATCTTGATCTCCAGTCTCAGAGCACCAAGGACAGAATGAAACCCCTCAGTCTAACTCGGAGCTACGTCTGACAGACAATGCCATTTACAGCTGATTCTCATGATGATTTTTCTCTGTGTGGGGATGATGGGCATCTGGTATACTCATGATTTGTGTTTATCTTGTAAACTTAAAGTAAAACGTCAGGAAATACTGTTTTTGGCTATGTCTGTGTGCATGTATGCATTTGCCTGTCTGTTTAGCCCAATTGAAGATGACTGACTGTAGAAGACACGTTAGTACCTTATTGGCCGTGACATCAGTCATGGAGCATGAAGTCTTTCTCCAAGCTTGGCTATTGGCTAACCAAATGAGGACCCATATTTTTTTGTTTTTTTTCATGTTTATATAACAATGCACTCAAAACCGACATACTGAAGGGAAATAACACATTAGCAAATATTAACAAAGTCTATGCTCAATAATCCAGGTATACAATCCAACATTTTTCAGTCAGGTCATCTGGATGAAACGTTTCAGCACAATAAAAAGAAACTGTCCAGATGACCTGACTGAAAAATGTTGGATTGTATACCTGGATTATTGAGCATGGACTTTGTTGTTTTCAACCAGTTTGACACGACTGTCAACAAGAAAGAGGGCCGGCAATGGAGGAGGGGGCGTAACAAAAAGACCATCTTATCACAAGCAGAACTGGTTTGTTCCACGTTGGAGTAAGCGGTTGGGGGAAGAATCAGTTTTGTTGTGTGTTTCCTTGACTGATGAAGCCTTCCGGATCGAAGACGAAACGTTTCAGCACACAAAAAAAAGAAACTGTCCAGATGACCTGACTGAAAAATATTGGATTAGCAAAAATTAGTTTCTAGAATTGGTGCCGCCCAAGGTGGCTTCATATTGGAGTATCTCTGTTACATTCATTCTGCGTTTGAAAACTTTTATTTAGCTTTTTCTGGATGTAAATCGATTTTTCTTTTGTTTTGGATGAAAATTTCTTCTGGTATCGGATGCTGTGCAACTGGAAGGAGTTTTACTGAAAACATTTTACTTTTGGACACCTGTTATGATGCGTAACCATAGCAACATGATGATTTTTTATTTTTTTTTTTGACAATTGGGAGCAGCTGATTAACATCTTCAAAGCTCAAATAAAACTTCAACTAGAGCACCAAATCCTAAGAGTTGAAAAGGAAGTGCCGTGGACGAAGTCCCGTCTCCCTGGCGGCGGTTCTCGAGCACCTGATCACCGAGATCTTGTAGCTGGCGTGGAATGCAACTTGTGACAGCGGGAGGACCGGGATCATCCTCAGGCACCTGCAGTTGGCTGTTCATGGCAACGAGGAGCTCGGCAGACTGCTGGAAGTAGTGGCCATTGCTCTGGGAAGAGTTCTGCCCTGCATTCAGGTGGCCCTGCTGCCCAGGAGGACCGAGAAGCTTGCCAGGTCTTTGTGGACGGATTGGCATCTGTGGCCAGTTTCTTTGGATCCACTGTGGAAGATCCTTCCTGCCCACAGTCGTCAGCATCTAGAACAACTCTTGAATAAAGCCAGGATGATGATCCATCCATCCATTCATTCATTTTTTTCCCTTATCTGGAGTCGAGTCGCAGGGGTAGCAGCCTAAGTAGGGAGGCCCAGACTTCCCTCTCCCCAGCCACTTGGGCCAACACCTTTGGTGGAATCCTAAAGTGTTCCCAGGCCAGCTGAGAAGCATAGTCCTTCAGTGTGACCTGGGTCTTTCTCTGGGTCTTTTCCCGGTGGGATGTGTCTAGAACACCTTACCAGGGAGGCGTCCAGGAGACATCCTAACCATAGATGAGGGTAGGAACGTATATTGACTGGTGAATTGAGAGCGTCGCCTTTTAACTCAGCTCTCTCTTCACCACGACAGACCGGTACAGCGCCCGCTTCACTGCAGACGTATCTGCCTATCGATCTCTCACTCCATTTTTCCCTCATTCGTGAACAAGACCCCCAAGATACTTAAACTCCTCCACTTGGGGCAGGACCTCCTCCCCAACCCAGAGAGGGCACTCTACCCTTTTCCGGCTCAAGATCATGGCCTCGGATTTGGAGGAACTGATCCTCACAAGGACGATGAGTTACATTTAATTTCACTTTGGGATTAGCAAAGTATTTTTGGATTCTGAATTTGAATCAAACCTCAATACTTTTGCATGACGTTTGTTGTTTGCTGCTGTTTAGTCAAAGAACATTTGCATTACTACACAACAGTATGTGTGTGACAACTGGCCCTAAAGCCTGATTTATAGTCCATGAGAAGCGAGATGTCTCACTGACGTGGTTGCGTGACGAAAATTGCATATTTTTCTTCTTTCAGTCCCACACTGAAACCACATCTAGTACATTACCCACAGTCAGGATGTCTTCCCGCATCAACTGTTTGTGAAAAACTTACAGAACATCTTTCTCCTCAGTTCAGAACATAAATGCCAGATCATCCTCCTCCAACTCCTTCATCATCAACTGAAAATAGCCATCCACTCTGACGCTAGCTATGTTTACATGGACATAAGTAATCGGGTTAAACGGCCATTCGAAGTAAAAATGTGTCATGTAAACGCCCCATTTGGATTATTTTTTGTTAATTCAGCACAATCCAAAATAATCTGTAATCAGAACGAAATGGGTGGTTTATGCTGATTCGTAACCTGAAGTGTATCCATGTAAACACGTAATCTGTTCATTTTTTTCCGATCATGAAAAACTGACCTGACTGCGCATGTGCAACTTTGCCATTTCCGCCTGGCTAATGCTAATAATGTTAGCATGTCGGGGAGAAGCAAAATTGGTCGGTGAGCGACACAACATTCCTACTAGAAACTTTGAAAGAGCTCAAAATGATCTGTATTACATGTAGCTCAGTCAGGGAGTGAATTAACGTCTCCACCGTCATTAAAACCTGTTGGGTGCTTAGGTTTGTTAACGTTCATCCCGTAAGTAAACCGGAAGTAGAACTTCTTCTTCTGCGTTTTTTAAGGAGAGTTTACCGCTCTGCGCATGTCAGTACTTCTGTTCAGAACAAAGCCCGCTGCATGTAAACGCTCATCATGAACGGATTGTGCTCATGTAAACGATACATTTTGAAGTATTTAATCTGAAAACATTTCAATCAGGTCAAAGAATTTTGTGCATGTAAACATAGGTAATGTGTCACCGCGTGGTTGCTGTTTGCGCGTGACGTGCTGCAGATGGAGATCAGTGGGAGGGCTTAACAGCACTTTCACCCCACAGTTTCTCTTGGAGTATAAAATGCTCATGTGGAAGGAAAAAAAAAAAAAGTCTCACACTCACGTCAGCCAGATCCGACATGTCTTGTGAAGTATAATCAGACTTTTATTCTCTAACAGTCGGTCAAAAACGACAAAAACATTTTACAGAATTTTACTTCATGCATGTGTCCATGGAAGTCAAAACAGCACATAGACTCTTTCCTATCTCACTAAAGGAGAATAAATCAACATACTTGTTGATGAAGATAAACGGATTAAAACCGTATTTCCATTTAGTAGTTTGAAACTGGTTTAAGCTTTGAGTAGCTCTCAATGAAGTAATTCAATCTAGATTAACACGATATTAAACACTCTTGAGTGACAAAGCTCTTGAACACTTCAGACATGTTAATGAGTCCCTTTAGGCGAACGTATCTCGATGAGAGCCCGGTGAGTAAAGACCAGGGGCAGATTTGATTTCGCTCCTTGGTTCTCATTCCTTACCTGACACATTGCTGACTGAAGTTTGCTGTGAGGGGATTAAGTTGACCCTTCTGTATCCGAGCGAGAGGGCTTATAAATAATTTACACCTCACTCTACAGTGAATAAGACTCAAGAAGAGGTGAGAGTGGGATGCGATCACTCTGTTTTCATACAGACAGTTTATCATAAAGTCCCAGCAGGCTCACAACAGCAGCTTCGATTTTCCTTGCTCAGTTTTTGTTTGACTGTTAAACTTGAGCTCACTGAGAGGACAACGAAGACAATGGAGGATGCTCAAGGTCTTAGTGTTAAGATTATGCTGAGTCGGCATTCACGCTATTGTTTTTCTCTTTTTTTATTTTTTGTTATATGCAATCAAACTACTTCTGCATCATTTGTGTTATTTGAACCATTTATATAGCAAGACGTATATAGTATGCTGTATGTATTTTATATTCTTTATGCATTTTATATTCTTTATGTAATTTATTCCTGTTGATCTTTGTTCTTACTGTAAAGTGTCCTTGGATGTCCTGAAAGGCGCTTTTTAAATAAAATTATTATTATTATTATTATATTATTATATAAGACATTAGGGCAGTGGTGGCGCAGAGGTTGGAGAAGGTGGGCCTGTGATTGGAAGGTCGCTGGTTTGACTCCCCGGATCGAAAACAACAAAATATGGTGGAAAAAGTGAAACGCCCTCACCTGCCTCCACCCTCGTTTGCCCCGCTTTAGGCCCTTGAGCAAGGCTCTTAACCCCCACCATGTGCTCCTCCGGGCACCCAAGATGGCAGCTCTCTGCTCCACACAGAAGGCTGAGGTAGCTCGGTGGTTGTGTCAGGATGGGCATCCGGCGTAAAAAAACAAACATTGCCAGATTTCCGTGTGAGTTCGCTGTGGTGACCTCTGAAGAAGGGAACAGCCGAAAGTAGAAGAAGAAGAAATGACAAGACATTCAGCTCAATTGGGAATATTGTGTCATGACTTTAGCTTTTTTTTTTTGTAACTTTTATACATTTCAAAATATTTACCGTAATTACCGGACTATAAGCTGCTACTTTTTTCACACACTTTGAAACTTGCAGTTTATATAATGCTGCAGCTAATTTATAGATTTTTTGGGGGTTTGTTTTGACGGGCTAACGAGCTTCGTGCCGCCAAAACATTTAGCTTCATCACACCCGGGCACTCACATAGCTGCCCAGTACACGTCTCTCTTGAGGGGTGGGTCCTCATGACTCAGTGAGAATATCTGTATAAATAAAGGTAAAAGTTAAAAATTTGACCAATGAAATTAACAAACAGGTCACAGTGGACAAATGAAACTTCGAATTACCGTAAATGCAACGCACTTTCACTCAGTTATTCAGGTCAGTTATTTTGCACTTGATGAACAGACCTTCATGGAAAACGCACAAAAAAATGCTGATGATGCAGCTTTCAAGTTAAAGGTGATTGATGTGGCTGTCGAAGAAGGAAATAGAGCTGCTGCACGTAAGCTAGGCGTTTCCTGGTAGGCTACTGTATTTATTTATTTTTAACCAGCCTCGTTACAGGCATTGTTCAGAAAAAAAACTTTTACTGTATGTATTTGCGTATGTTACCGGTATATATATTTAATTAAAAGTTTTTTAAAAAACCTTTGCGTAAGTATCTCTTGTTACAATGTGAACACCTGCGGCTTATAGACAAGCGCGGTCTATATATGGACAAAATTGAATTTTTAAATTTATTTAGTGGGCGTGGCTTATATTTGGGCGCACTAAATAGTCCAGAAATTTTGGTAATATTGTTTAAAATTAAAATCCCCATAGAAATAAATTTCGATGTTGCTGCTTCAGCATGCTTGCTTTATTTTAATTTTCATTTCTGACACTTTTAGCTTTTAGCTACTGTTTGGCTACTTTTATCAACCGATTTGCTGATGCTACCTTTAGCATATCTTTAACAACTTTTGGCTACTATTTCATTCGTTTTAGCTACATTTAATTTAACTCTAAAAAAGTAGGTACATTTATAGCTCTGTTTGTGTTTGGAAAGATTGTGACAGCCATCTTGAAAAAAGTTTATCACTCAGCGATTCATTTCTTTAAAATTGTTCCAGTAGCTGATATATTTTGCTAACAGACAGACAAGCCTACACAGGCATAAAGAAACAGCCAATTACATGAGCTCATGCCTTTTATGGCAGTGGGAGATAATAAACTGTTGTATCTAACTCCAAAATATATAAAATGACCTTCTAAGATTAAAATAAATTACTTCATTATTTATCCCAAGAGAACATTGACAATGAGAGTTGTCAGTAAAGCTTCAGAAGAACTCCAGCAGCATCCCTACCGTTGAAGCTGCACTTCTTTCATAAGTGGATTAATTTCAGCTTGATTTAAGCCATCAAGCATAACTGATTTACTGCGTGCTCGGTGATTTCCCAGCGGAGCTTTGCGTTTTGTCCACGCTGCACTCAAAGTACCACCCCTTATGAGAGCTGCTGGAATTCACCCATAACATGTTTGAAATGCCTTCCACATAAATTAATTAAAAGGGGGGAAAAAAAAAGTTTATGCAAATGCAGTTTGGACGCATAAAGCAGCTGTGTGCGCTGCGGCCGCACCACTGCCTGCGGCCCAGGAAGTCTGTCCAATCAGGACCGATCAGCAGAAACACACGGGGGTTTGTTCAGCAGGACGAGTGACGGTTGGAAGTACGATTCACTGCGAAGAGGTTTGTCTTTCAGTATAGTTTAAAATAATAAATCCTGAAAGAATTTCAGGATAAATCCTCCCCAAGCCCTCCAAGGAAGGATGCCCTCTTAGCTCGTCCACATCAAGCTTAAATCCGAGCGACACATTTGATCATCGCAGCACGACGCTGACAGTTTAATCATCGTTCTTGTGGGCCACGATAACATTTGCCAGAGCGAAGCCCGGGGCTGCTTTTCATCTGATGACCCCTGAAAGAGCTCTGTTTATAATTTAGTCACAAGTGGTTTGACATTCCGCAGCCCACGGAGAGACGACTGAATCAGGGAATTATTCGATGCTGGCTGTGAGCAGCGAACGTATGAACGTCCCATGATTCTCATCAAGTCGCCCCTCTTGCTAACATTCACATGCAGAGGAGCGCACGGATGAACGTTAAATGATGGAGCGTCTCTGTTAATGACAGTGGAGGCAAAACTGACCCGTTTGCTTATGTATCTAAATTTCTTTGACCTTTCAAACTGTGCGTGTAATAGTTTTCCTTTAATTTAGGTATATATATATATATATGTATATATATATATATATATATATATATATATGTATTTGTTATTTATTTAAACTTAATCAGGTTAGTCTCACTGAGTGACGAGGACTCGTTTTCAAGAGACAGACAACATATAAAGTACAGACAACAATAAAAAGCAATAAATAAAAAATAGTGTTATAAAAACAATAAAATCAAAATGCCATAGAAAGCAAGGTAAAATACTAACTAGTACTAACCCATGTAGGTACCAGGTATGTACCTTGTAAGTATGGGGTACCTACATGACGTACGTTTCTTGCAAGTACGAGGTACTTCCATGTAAATACACAAATACTTACATGTAGTACAGGGACTAATAAGGAATATGTACCCTGTAAATAGTGGGTACTTACTTGGACTGTAGCCTGTAAGTTCCCGGTACTGACATGTAGTACATACCTTATAAGTATCAAGTACTTATATGTGATGTACCGCATACTACGGAGGGGGTTTACCACCATAAATATTCAGTATTTACATGGGGTACAAACAGTGTTGCCAGATCTCATGATAGAAACAAGCAACCAGCTCTATGAAAACAAGCCCAACTGGCAACCCACCACATTGTGTAAAACAGGCTGCTTTTAAACAAAATGTCTTTAAGTTTTCTACTTTTATATTATGACAAAATGCTAAATCAGTTTAAGGATTAATGGACATTTTTACATAAAACTGACTGTTTGTTGTTCTTCTTACGTCCAGGTCCCCTCCCAGACCCAGTCCAGGAAGTCTCCACTACTCAGACGAGGACGTGAGCACCAAGTACAACGACCTGATCCCTGCAGAGAGCAGCAGCCTGACAGAGAAACCCTCTGAAATCTCTGACTCACAGGTGCAGCGGCAGTCCTACCTTTACCGCACATCTTCTCTGACCTCAATCCTGTCTGCGCTCAGCAGCATTTGTCTCATTCTTGTGCCTGTCTGTGTGTGCACACCGTCATCTCCTGAATTCTTCTGGAATTCAGCATCGCATTGTCAGCTGTAATATGTTTTTGGTCTGTTCTTGCTGCTTCTGATTATTATTTGTATGTGTGTGTGTGTGTATGTCAGTCACCTGTATGTATTCGGCCGGTCGGCAGAGGTCAGAAAATTTAGCTACGGCTAATGCAAGAGAGATTAATGAGCAGTTTATAGAAACCTGCTGAGAACGCCTCTCAGCAAACATCCACCTGAACTCCAAGCCGCAACACTCAGTCACCGAGAGGACCGAAGAGGGATTCAGTGTGAAAATATTATTGCAGAGCTACATATTTAAAGTTTCCACCCCAGACGAACAGTCTATCCAAATCTCCTTCTCAGTGAGTCGAGTCAGAGTGATCTCAGTGGAAAACTACAGTATTTTATTGGCTTTCCTCCTTGGTAAAAATATATATATATATATATATATATATATATATAATATATATATATATATATATATATATATATATATATATATATCAATATGTGTCCTTATGTTTAAAACATTTAAGCACAATTTGTAAACACATGCTAGCCACCATGTGTTTGGTTATCTACAGAAAAGGCCAAAGTGACTGAAAATAAGTCGGCATTGGAGAGGTTTATAGGAGCGACATTTGGAATTGAGAACTCTAAAAATTTTGATATTTTCATACTTGTTTACACTCCGATTTGTTGTGTAAAAGATGCAGATAAAGCGCTTCATTTACATTACGAGCGTACCCACATTCCAGAATTGCATATCAATGAATCTGGAAAACTACTGCACCATTTGATCAAATTAGGTTCAACCGTTTGTATGTTTGAACTCGTAGTTTTCAATAGGAACAATAAAGTTTTCTATATATCGTACTTGCCGCTGTACAAGTCGCATCAGTCCAAATACGTCTAATAAAGTGGAAAAAAGAATAAATACGTCGCTTCGCTGTATAAGTTGCATCTATTATGCGTCACCGCTGACAATCTGGAAATGTGGGCCAATGTGCCAAAAATTGATTGGCTGCCAAATGATGGGCACGGGAGCGTGCACGGGAGGACTTTAACCTGATTAACACTTAAAAACAATTTATTTGTTTAATATTTTTTTATTTATTTACCCTTTATTTATCCAGGTAGTCTCATTGAGTCACGAGAACTCATTTTCAAGAGAGACCTGTTTAGGAGCAGATGGGGGTTAAGGGCCTTGATCATGGGCCCAGAGTGGGGTGAATAAGGGTGGGGGCAGGTGTTGATCTACCCCACCCACATTTTTTGATGTTGTCGGTACCGGGGCTTGAACCGGCGATCTTCCGATCACAGGTCCACCTTCTCTAACCTCTGCGCCACCACTCTCCCCCCCCCCCCCCCCAACATGCACTTTGACGGTCAAATCAGCTGCATTTCAAAAGCTGACTTGCGGCCGCGGGAGCGCGCAGAGGAGGACTCGCTGTTCATTCCTTTAAAATTTAACAAGATAACCACCTAAAAACAATTATTTGTTTGTCCTGATGCATGCTCAATAATCCAGGTAGAAAAATCCAAAAAAGTTCAATCTGGTCCTCTGGACATTCATAAAAAACAAAAAACAAAACAAAGCAAAAAAATCTAGAAACGTTTCGTCTCTCATCCAAGAGACTTCCTCAGTCTGAGGTGCTGTTTTCAGCTCAGTCTCTTAAATTGCACCTTCACAGAGTGGATCAACCAGTTTGCTGCTGACAACCAAAACCAGCTGATCACATGCTCAAGAAGGACCATCAGCCTAACAATGGATCATTAGCACACTGATGGCTGTTTACTACTCACAGAGGGCTGAGTGATACTAGCAATCACAGCATTGTAAGAGGGGGACAGTTGAACCCGGAGGCCTCCACCCCTGTTTAATGATGGACGGTTTCTTTTCACAAAGATGGCCTCCTTTACTCCTCTCTCAAACCATCGTTCCTCTCTGTCCAGGATGTG